TGAATGGTTTGCAGAAAATAATGAAAGTAGCCAGGGAGCACATATTTATATTGATTTCAGTAATCTCTTTGATAAATGTGTATCAAATATACTGTAATTTTCAAAATAAGTCATGAAAACATTTGCTGAATAAAAGTGCACGTCATGACTTTTTATAGTGTTATATTCAAAATTTAATTATTCTACTTTATTATTTTTGTATGTCAGTAAATTTAGTATGAAATTGCAGTTTATAATCCAAATTTTACATTATCTAAATTTCAGTTTGTTAATTTAAAAAGAGTTTGATCTTCACTTTTCTGTGCCATATGATGTGCCTGAGGTATGATTTCTCAATTTGAAGTTTATAACTTCAACAATAAATTCTATAGTTTTCAACCTATTAGAAACATATTCATCATAGCTATTTGACCTTGGCAACTATAGAATAGCAATCTGCCATACTTTCTTCATGTGTGAATGTCATTATCTTGCTTGAATGTTTATATCTATATAGCTTACTTAGAAAGCCAGTCATATATATGTATAGTGAGCAATATATTTTCTGTGATCTAAAAATTCATATTTGAAAGTTACTTGAATTCCTTTTTGGAGACCCAAATTTACGAGAAAAATTTGGTTTATGCTTATGAAAAATCATCCACTGTTTACATGAAATTGCTAATGTGATTTATTACTGAGGAGAAAACAGCTTCTATGGTTCAATGTTCAGACAATAAAGCCATAAAATTAAAGGAAAACATGTGTCAAAAAGTTAACAGTTTAATTTTGGGAAGAAAAGTGATTTTAAAAAGTGAAATAAATAATGCGTTAAAAAAAGTGAAAAAATGTATTATTATTTGTATTTCATATTTTCAACTTTTCACTTCATCGTATGTTGAGGATTTTGTTACAGTTAGTGTTAGAGTTGAGAAAATACAAAGTTTTACCCAAAAAGTTTTAAAGGTTACACAAATGAAATATGAAAGCTGTAAAATGAAAAGAAGTATTTTTATTCTCAGCATGAAAATTCCTAGGAAATTTACAGACAAATATTTAATATAAATATTCTGTTAAAAAAATTAATTTTGTGTGTACAACAGACTTCCCAAATATTGTAAAGATATGCTTATTAAATTCAGAACTACGGTAAACAGTAATTATGCATAGTTTCACAGATATGGGGTGGGTCCAATGTCTCTATTATTTTTTCTGGTAGCTGTGATGTCACACAATCATTCAGGCACTACCTCATTAAATCTAGGCAATTTATACCAATTTATGAAAAATTATATAAAAATTCTTTAACACAGTCCTATTCTAAATGTGTTGTAATAACAATAAGTGTAAAAGTAGTATTATTCTCTTTTATGGCATCATGTTAAGAGAAAAGTATTGCATTATTGTTTTGTCTCATGTTCTTTAAGCATGTAATTGTATACAAAATTCTAGAAATTTAAATCATTGCTCAGTAACTTGTATTATGGAGTGCTCATTTGGGACCACTTAGTTTTGATATATATATAATAAAGGTGCTAAGCTGACTAATACACAACCAATTTCACTGGGCAACAAAATTAGAAACTTTTCTCTGCTACTAGAAAATATTGAACTGTTTCTGATGATGCTGATTCTAAATATCACGTTGAAAATTACTGATCACCTCTAGTTTTCCAGTTATGGCATAAATATATTGTACTGAGTTGATTGTGTGTTATTTCACATAGTGCTGATAAAATATTGAGATATTACAATAACTCATAATCTGGACAGATTCTGACTACATTTTTAAAATCAGCATTAATGAGCTGTGGCAATTTAAACAGCTAAAATTTGTATCATAGTCTTAATGTATATTTACTCTTTGAAATGTATATCACTAATGATTATAATGGAAAAGCCCTAGTCTCAATTTTGTCAATCAAAATATTTTGTCTATCATGTTTGATCTTGTTTTTTCGATGCAGTAATAATTTTGAAAATTGTTTAATTATCTGAGTAGATAAGATCACCTGGAATTAAGGAAAACTTACTTAAAACTGTGGGGTGTGAAAGTAAAAATTCTACTTAACTTCTCTTTTTGAGGATGTCCATACTCCATGAGCAAATAATGTTTAAGTATAAGCTCTTCTGAGTTACAAATTTTTGAGAAAATATTTATTTTGAAATTGAAAAATGAAAGTACAATAAATGAATAGCGTGCTTTACTGACACCTAATGTATTTTTTATATATTTCAGGGATCTAAAGCCAGAGAATATATTATTAGATTCTCAAGTAAGTATGATTTCAAGAACATTATTTCATACATAATAGTTAAATAAAGATAATGATTAAACTTTTCAATTTCAGGTAATTAAAATGTTCCCAATGAGAATAATATGTATTTTGTCACACGATGTTTCTCCAATTTAGTATTTGATTATACAGGTATGGATTTGTGTATCAGATGTTTATAATTTTGTTTTTTGCAAATTAGTTTCCATAAGCATACTTGAGCTTTTTTCTATGAATTTGTGGAATTCTGTTGATTTTACTTTGCTAAGGATATTTTCAGTAGACTATTGCAAAAAGGAGAAAATCTTGTAGGTTTGACTTCACTGATTTATTAATATGAATGATCTTTTATTTGTACGCATAATTTATGTCTGGCAAATGTTTGTGTTATCACAATG